TTTTACATTCAGAGGGACAAAACTTACCTAAGTCAAAGTCATACATGCAATAGGTCATCAAAATATCATGAAGTAAAATCAGTCCTGGATTATCTTCACCTTCATAGAATTTATTTGTTCGATCTGTCCTGTTAACATCTTTTTCTAAGAAAACAATCCAGATTTAAAAACACTTTCAAAACCAGTTTTACAAAGCCAGTATCAAATTAATTCAGAATATCTAAGCTGATGATTTCTTCCTCAATCACTATTGCAAAGCTTTGAGGTGTTTGAGACAACTGCATAACTGAATGCCATTTCAAAATAAAGAATGTTTTAAAATAAAGAAAATCCTTCCTATCTGCAATGAAAGTATTTGCTTACAAACATATTTTAAAGCTTTCTGCCTTTTCTTTGATAATGCATTTCATGAAAAAAAAAAATCCTGATTATAATTCACGAAAATGTTTTACACTTAAGGAGGATTAAAAACAATTTTATGCAAGCTAACTCTACAATGCCATTTATGGATACTGATGCATTACAGCATAATCCATAGTTGCAAAGTTCCCACATGATCAGCTCAAAGACACTGACAGTTCGTAACAGCATTTTATAAATACTGTGGAACAAGTTCCTGTAACTCATAGCAGATGAAACTGCCTCTTTCATCAGGTAGTTTTGATGTCTGAAACATACCAAACACACAGCATACTCCTTAATAAGGTGAAATTTAAGACCAAGTTATTATGAAATTTTGCAAAATTTTGAATGCAGTTTGATAAAAGGAGTATTTTGTAGATTTGAATCTGTTTTACTACATAATTCTAATACTGCCACATACATTTCAAATACTTAAAAATTAAAATAATTTACTCAACAGAAATAAACACCTGGCCTTTTTGAAACTCAGAATTTATTTTTTCTGTTATCATTCTCTAAAAATGTAGTTTATTAGTCTACCAAGACAAAACTACTTTGACCCTTTCAGCTTGCCTCTTGAGTAACTGCCTGAAATAAGTTTAATCTTTCTCTCAGAATAACAAAGAAATCTTGACCTGACTCCAGAAAATATATTTAATAGAACAGAACATGGGTGCCCAAATCTCACTACCAAAGAAATAAGAATACAAACTGCTAATGCTCAGCATAATTTGATGAAATTTTTAGAAGTAGGTGTAAATCCCAGAAGTCAGAACGCACATACACAAATCCCTACAAGAAATTATAAAATATGGACATTTTCACATTCATATTGGATGCCATTATTTTAACAAGATTTCCACTAAAAACACATCATGATTTAGCACAAAATAAGAGTCTTTTGTTACTGAGTAAAGGAAGTTTAAAAATCCAGTTTGCAACACTAATATGTAAAGCTCTGAGTTACTCTACTTGAGAAAGTTTTAATATTAAGTACATAACCAAGTTTAGACACCTGTGAAAAGAGCAACATTTCATTTTTAGAGCCTTTTTATGCAGGCTTTTCAATTTCATATTAACTTTTAAAAGTGTGTGTGCATTTAGGCATGTTTCTAAACATGAATTTACCTATAAGGCTCCGGTAATCTCTTAATCTTGAATTTCGCTTTTCCTGCTCCTCACTGACAGACTTCCACTGTAGTTTCATCCTGAAATATTCATCCCTGAAGAAGAACAACAATTTTGAAACCAAACATTCATCTTTCCTTCTTTTAATTTAAGCATTAATTCATTCATTTTCTTAGATAAATGGGATAACAACACCTGTTTATGTAATGTTTTTAGTAAAACAATTTTTAAGAAGATGCCACAGGTTCTTGCATTCAATTTTAGCAGCTGTCTTTCAAAGGGCTTTCTAAGTCACTATGTCTTAAAAAAGATGCACCTTTTAAATTTATTTTGTAAGAAAAAAGTCACTGTACTCACGTTTTCCTTTTTTGCAGATTTGCTCTCTCTTCTTTAGTGCTATTCCAAGGAAAATATCCCAAAAGAAATTTCCATGCCTCTTTTCTTAAAGTATGGCAGAGACCCTATGGAAAAATGGGTATGATGCATCAACAAAAGCATTACCATACTGTGAGGAAACATTCCTAGATTGATACAACACTTCCCAAAGCAGCAACTTCAAGTCAGTTTCTCTTTATATTGTAGCCAAGTCTCATGTGCTGACTAGGTCTCAACTGGGAGGAAACAGGAAGAAATGAGAATGATTAAACAGAATACTGCAGAAGCACTGGATCCACACTTAGGTAAAAAAAGAAACTTTAGAAAATAATTTTCTCCCTATATTTTTGCTTAACTGTTAAAAATAAAAAACTTACAGGAATCACAGACTTTAAGAAGTAAAAAAAGTTCCTTTAAAAATGTATAAAAATCTTACACTGCTTCTGGTTACAGTTGCCAGACTTCTAGTCTTGCCATGAAGTGACCTTGAAGATTAGTCTTCCATTTATTTATTTTTTTTTTAAACAAATATTTTCATCTCACAAGACATGGCTAACCTTCAATGAATCTTTCAGTCAAAAATACTAGCGTCCATTCAATAATCCTGCTTGTCAGAGATCTTCCCAAGTAATACTCATAATTTTTAGATGACAAAAATATATGGAGCTGAATCATATCCTGCTCTCATCAAGACAGTTTCTTGCAGCTCCTTCAGTACAGTCATAAGAATAAGGAACTTTTGCTATTAGAGTCCCCACTTTGGGGATCTTGAATCATAAATAAAATATAGCACTCAGTCCCCAGTAATGGGCAGAGATTGACAGGGAAGTGGGCTACAGGAAGAAAAGGTTTGTACTAATTCTCATTATTGTGGAAGGGTCCTTAATTGGGCACACGAATATTAAAGAACAGTGCTATCATCTTCTACTTCTGCTTGCAAACATACACACACAAAATGAATCCATTAAGGCAGCTGCATTCCCATCAAAATATAGAAATACTGAAGTAATATTAGGTAGAAAAGCTACAGGATACAATTAGTTTTCCAAATTTCCATCACCGACAGTAAATTCACATTCATATTGTAAAACACCTCAGTTCAATTAAAAATACCAGCAAAAGTGTTTAGCACTGGTCTGATGAGGGTCAAATCCCCGCAAAATCAAAATCAGAAGCTTCTGCTTGAGAAGGATAGGAAAAAAACATTATAAGAGAAAATAATAAACCAAATATCTTAACACTGAAATACTGGTCTTTTCCTGAAAGCCACTTCCATTTGTTTTATCACTTAAGCTTCTGTATTTCCAACTCATTTCCTTTAGCCAGCCACATCAAGATGTCTCTCCTTGTAGAGCATTTTATATAGCTGCAAGGCTGCTGAGGTATTTGATTGGCATGAACCATGCTTTATGAAGTCTCTCAATAATACTCAAAGTTCTGCACAAAACATTACAAGTTAATGAAAGCAGTATATCCACAGTTTGGGAAGGAAAACAAAAGCCAAAATCAAGCCATAGGTCTTGCTGAACGTAGAAAAACTAGTTACCCCTTTGAATATCAATCGTTTTATGTAGTCAACATCTAAAATTCTTCCTTCAGAGTCCATATTCTTAGCCCATTCTTCAGTTGACACAGGCTCTCTTCTACTAACTTCAGGTTGTTTCCCTAAGTTGATCTGAAAAACACACAAGGGAATTATATGAATCCCAATGAAGGGCTTCAGTAGTTGCAAACAACTGCACAAATGGTACTAAGCTTGCCAGTTTCTTATAGTCAGTGCAATTACATTTCCACATGCACATACCTCAGGAACTCTAAGGATGTAAGGTTGCAGCCACATGAGCAAGTAGAGTGGGCCAACACAAGCAGATCTTTAGAGTAAGACACTTGGTGCTGAGGACCTGACTATACATGTTAATATTTCTGATTTTGGAGGATGTATGTATGTTTTAAATAACCTAATTCCACAAACACTTCTGAGCTAGTTTTCCATGAGCTAATGCAACACAGCAAACAAAGACAATCGGGGAGCTTCACTTCAAAAACACATTCCTGATACATATGAGAGCATCTTACAAGAGAACTGAAAATCAGCCTGGGTTTGGACATGCTATCCCTACATAGTCTGCACAATGTGACTGGACAGATCAGTTTTGGTACACAGACTCTTAAAAAATCCAAGGATGTATGTACTTTCAGAATTTATAACACCCATCAAAAGTTTCAGTTTGTGCTTAGTCTCTCAGTTCCCCAATTCCATGTCTAAATACAGGAGAATTCAGCAGAAAGTAAATTCTTACTATGATAGCATCCCCCAAATCAATTTGTATTTCAACTCTTTATAAGTCCAAGACATTTGTCAGATGGCCTAAGACATATAGGTCAATGTTATTTTCCATATATAGCATTTGTTATACTTTTTCTCGTTGACAAATTAAAAAAGTGCTAAGCAACAACTTCTTAGAATGATGTTGTTCAGGCAGCTACTGCTAAGATATTAACACTAGCTTGAACTAAAATATCCCTCATATAAAACAGTTTAATGTTTTAAAAATATGTAAGCTGCTCAAATAATAATCACAAGCATTTAAAAATAAACCTTTTCCACATATCTATAAAAGACTCCAACAGGTGTCCACAGTGATTCATGATGTAATTAAAAGTTCATTCTAGTTTTGGTTCAAATCATGCATATATCTTTAATTTATACATTCTAGACATTAATTATCCAATTAAGTTTTTTTAAATCTCAAAAGAAACTGAAATGTTAGAAGTGATTAGCCAAGAAAATTGGTTATTAGCCTGCTTTCTCTAATTTTACTTAAGATAGCTCTAATTGACCTCAGAGGAAACACTGAACACAAAATCAGACATCTTTTAAGGCAGTGTCTCTAACATAACTATAGACACCATTTCATTAATTACAAACTTCCTTTCAAAGAAAACTCACATTCACATGCATAAAAATGACATATTCAAAAGCAACTGATGATGATCTTAACTCCTGAGAATAAATGGTAGTATGCCACAATTGCATAAACAGTATAACTCATCATGCTTCAAGTCCTTCCATTCTTTTAAAGGAGTGCATAAAAACAATCAGTGCATCCGTATCATTAATTTATAGACTCACTCGTGTAATTACTTCAAATCCTGGCTCTTCCTGCTGATTTATCTTTAGCCCTGGAATGGTATCATTGAGAAAGTCTGCCATTTCTGATGGTGGTCGCCTCTGATTTGATTGATCACTTGAACGTAAACTTCCAACAATATAGTTTGTGACTTTGGAAAATTTTCCCATTGTTACTACATATGGATCTCTCTTCCATTTCTGTTATAACATGGAAAACAAGCAAAACACAAACATTTGTGTTTATAATATGTTATAATATATATACACACTTGTAATTCTTGTACTCAAAGGCAAACATCAGGAAAGGTACCGTGGATCTCAAAATTATTTAAGTTTCATGTATTGGTAGTAATACAGAACAGTCATCACATGATTAAAAAACACATCTTAAGTATGAAGATAATACTGCTAATTGATTTGAAAGATTGGATAGCAGTGTTTTCAGTAAGTCTGACCTACACATAGAATTGGATCAGATCCACTGTTTGCTATCAGTGATTCATGGTACAAAACAGAAGCCTTGCACCCAGTTTCCCAACCCTCACAGAGAAAAGAGTCTGAACAAGGATGTACTCTACTAGGAATTTCACACAAATTTTGATTTGAGAACTAAATAACGTAATTAATTCATGAAGAATTTCTTTAATTAAACACATCAGTGGATCAACCCTCTGGCCTCAAGTCACTTAAGTCACTCAAGTTTTGCTGCTAATTTTCACAAGTCCATAAACCCCACCAATGACAAGCTGTTGTAGTATTAAAAAAGCACGTACTTTTAGCCAATACTGTCCTCTTTGCTGCTGTATTTCCATTATCCCTTCAAAAGCCTCAGAAAATATCAATGAAAAGAATACTTAGTCAAGGAAAACGTAGAAAATTGTAATACGTTGTGGTAACTCCTAAAATATCTCCTTTCCCCCCTAAAACTAAGACAAATATATGAATCACAGAGAACATGAACTTGAATAGGTTTGAAATAATACCACAGGAAAGTTAAGAAGTTATCACATCATAGAAAACAACTTATAATTAAGTGTACTTTCTATAGCAAGCATTTGGTTTAGGATATAGTTAATGCTTCTACAATGGCATTATCCAGCAAATATTCTTGTGACATGGTAGGGTGCATTTTTTCAATACATGTCTTCAGAATAAAAAAATCTGAAGATATTACATACTTGTAATAAGCCGTAAGATGGTTCATCAAAGAGATTTTCAAAAGACTGAGACAGTGACTTCTGAGTCTTCACAAGAAGAACCCGTTCATCATGTGGAGATCTGCAATAAAATTTAAAAAGCATGTCTGGGTCCAACTCTTTTTTTCTGTAAAATTTTCAGAACATTTACTGGTTTTCTGAAGTCACATTTCAGGCTTTGTGCAAAAAATAAAGGATTTATTGCAGGATCATTCATGTGATGCAAGATCAGCTCTTGACACAAGTTAATCAATTAATGCTATATAAAACAGAACTTTCATTATTTAAAAGATTATGTTATTTTTATATTAATTCTGAATTGTACTATTTCATTCCCTGAAAAATGAAGCTTTTGAAAACTTTTTGAGAAATTCCTCTGGAAGATAACTCCATTTACATGTAGGTGACAAAACTTTCTTCAAGTACATTTTTCTAGTTTTGACAATGGACAAAAAAAATGTGACACAGGAAATGTAGTGAGACACAGCCTCAAAACAATATATGCTGAAACTCCCTTAATATAATAGAGGAAATTAAAAGAGCCTATGTCACCCATACAGTTAAGGAATTCTTTCTACCAGTTAGTAAATCATATATTAGGGCACCCTGCAAAACATTACATTAAGGAATACAAACTGCTTTTCAATATATGAAAGCACATCACCATATTTCTAACCAATAGTACAATAACAGATGCTGTCAGAATAATTCTAAGATTCATACTGATAGGAACTTAAAAGACACCAGAGCCATCATATTGCAAAACAGAACCATCTCAGTATAGCCCTGCAAATATATGTCTGTGTAGACTCCAAAAGCTTAATGAACACAAACCTGACTTGGCCTAACTCATTGTATTTGTACACTCCTGCTCAATACATTTGCTACTTAACAGGGTTCCATAGGCAGATGAAAATGACACCAAAGGCACTGAAACCATGCTGCTTCTCGTAATAAATCTTTTCTTTTCCTCTCACACCTACTTCCCCTGCAACATCCCATTTTGCCCCCTTCTCCAGCACAGGCACCCCATTACTTCCTTAAGCAGCTGCTGGATCACCAATTTACTGCTCAGTAGATGACAGAAGAGAGAACAGCTCAGAAAGCAGGCTGACATTCAAGCCTCAGAGTTTGTATCCAGGCAGGAGAAAGCCAAGCACTTTGCCATCTGACCCTAATCCACTGCAGAGTTTTATTTATAAAATACCTCTCTATTGCTCTCTCACAAAGTTTAAATACACTATTTCTAGTCTTTGAAAGAAAAATTACTTTCCTTTTTATTAGTACCTGCATCATCTACCATGTTATTAAAGTCAAAGATAAGAACTTTAATATGCCTTATCTCTTTCCTATTCCAACAGGACAGGACACTGTAAACACTGACGGATATGAAATGCAACAACAGATCTTCTTTTGAGACAGCCAGACATCACAGTCATAGTTCTGAGGCACCAACAGTTAATGAAGCTCAATTGGCTTTTTCTAAAAAACAGCACAGGGGCAAAGGTTGAGTCGTATATTATGTTTTTCTTAACTAAAAGAATTAAAACCTTGTACTGTATGCCTCTCTTCTAATTAAACACACTTTCTGGACAGTCAGGCAGGTATCAACACCTACTTAGGTAATGTTCAAAAATTTGAGCTATACACTTTCTGAAGCTTCCTCATAGTCCTGCGACTTGGAAACTGTCATCTGTGCACACAGTATTTTCTCAATATTAGACTGGTGCAATTAAATTAGAAAGCACCTAATCCTTAGGACAACAAATCACAACTATTGTGTGAGTTTTGCTGCTTCATGCTGATTTCAGCAATGATGTGATATATATAAAGAATGGTGTTAGAGAAGGACAAAATCTTGAGGTAATAGAAATATAAGAAAATACTATAACATAAGGAGAACATATAAATAACCTAAAATTTCTGCCTTAATATCAATATCCCATATTTTATAAAATACAAGTTGGGATGACAAGTAATTACACTGACAAATATTTACTTGTGGCATCCCAACAGCTGAGTAAACATCTTTTCCTAAATGAGGTTGTGAGCCGAGATACATTATGTACTAAAGAATGAATAACCATTAGGAAACAATAGAAACATACTGATTAACTCTGTCATTTCCATAACTTGGATGGCCTATTTGTTCTTTTTCCTTAGAAAAAAATAATCATCATAATTCACGACTAGACAACAGAAGAGAATTTGGTGACAGAAGAGACCTTAACTGAATAAGGAAACTAAAACTGGAAGTTCCTGCTCACGTCAATGCATAAGGTCACCCAAACTGAATTTCCATAGCTATCATTGCTTTTTGCTTTAAAGTTCCTGAAGTATCTGCTCTTGCAATCATTAATGCTTGTAATAACTGTTCAAGGTGGCAATACCAAGCAGCACAGCACAGCCTGGAAGCTTGAACATAACTTCAAGTTTTGCTGTCTTATCCTAGAAATCAGTTAGAAAATTTCAAATATGTTGTTGCAGTCCACAGGTAACAGATTACACAGATCTGATATAAAGCTTTCTGTGACTCAGAATAACAGGACAACAATGTTTCCCTATTCCTGCAGAGGCTGGGAAATTATGAATCTAAATGAGGATGTTTAAGGCAGGGAACCTAGAGAAAAAAAAAAAAAAAAAACAGGATTTAAGATGAAGTTGTCATTCAGAATTTTCAAATTTTCTAATCTATAGTTGTACAGAGTACATTCCTATTTACAAGTTCATCATGTCCCTGTATTAGCCTCTCCTTTGGTCATCCTGACTTTTCTCCTTACAAAGTCACACACAGTGTCTACCAACTGGACACACTGACCATGCTACCTTCTCCAAGCAGCTGAAAACTTCTGATTATCACAAACCCCAACACCATGTCTTGAAACTGTCAAAGTCTTTCACAAATGAGTTTAACAAACATACAACCACTCACATCCTACTGATTTGTTCTCCAGCAAAATTTTCCTCAGTATTACTCAGCATTAGCCTGCCCTACTTGTTGAAGGCATCTCTGGTCTCAGTGATGCTACTAATGTAAGAAGAGCCCTCTGTAAGGATTCCTACAGCCATTTCACTATCCACCTTCAAATCTGTCATCACACTATTATGCTGCAAGTGACAATAGCAAAACACTTTCGAAAACAGATTACATGCTACACTAATATTACAGCTGTTCTAGGTACACATGTCATATCACATTTATTTCTTCATATTCTATCTAACATTATTTACCTGTTGGATTCTTAAATTATACTTATGCTTACATGGTGAGAGCAGAAAATTTTATTTTATTCTATACTTATGCTTGTGGATCAAAAAGGCTATCCTAGTAAAAAACTTGGAGGTAGCTCAATATAACTACACAACAACCTCAAATTATTTAACAGAATGATAGAGTCTTAATTATATTTACACTCAGATAGTTGATTTATGTGGTAAAGATCAAGAGCAAAGCACTGACCAGGCAAGAAATTACAGGGGAACAGAATTGTGTGGGAAAACATTTATATACCAATTGATCTAGCTGACAGTACTGTAAGTTACCCTAAAAACCCATGTAAATACTCATGCATATTTTGCACAAAGGAGACAATCTCAAATTGTAACACAAATTATCACATTTTACAGAAGTAGCTCATGAAGGTTTTAACTTTTACACTGCATGTTCATAAGACGCTTCTGCAGCCACTAGAGGGAGCAACTGAGGCATTCAGAACTAGTAACGCTTCAGACCCTAAAATACTTAATAAGTCAACAAGTTTTAAACTTCAGCTTACATTCCAAATACATATGTGAAACCACAGTTTCAGTCACCTTGAAAACTATTTATACTAATAAAAAAAGGAATGGAATAACAATCAGGAAGTATTACTCTGAAATTCTTTAGGTGATTTAAGTAAACCAATAATCTGTATTTTACAGAACTAAATGTTGTCTGATACTTACTCATTCAGTGCAATGTGCTTTTCAAGACATTTAATCAATGGTTTGCTATCTCCATGATGAAAGTGAAGAGCTGGAAGCTTCACATCATCCTTCAGACAGAACACCAAATAAGACCATCCCATGCCTTTTTTGTTTTGTTTGATTGATTTCAGATCTGTCAAACTGAACAGGAACGACCACTTGCTTTCTCTGTTTGCATGAGTTGTAGCATCTTAAAAACAAAATTAGCACATTATTTTAGTTTGACTTTCAGTGTTAGCAATTATAAATACATTATATCTGTCACTGTTCCTAAAAAACAAGCTCAAAACATAAACACCAGCATTGGTTCTAATAATAAAATGTGCACTGTAACTACTATTTCTGGATTTCCCTTTGAGCCTCCTTGTAAAACAATCAACAAGTCCATCAGGCTACTCCCCTAAAACTGTACCTACAACTTATAGGAAAAGGTTTTTCACCCAGAGAGTGGTTGGGCACTGGAACAGGCTCCCAGGGAAGTGGTCACACCATTAAACTTAACAAGAGCTCAATAAGCATTCGGACAACACTCTCAGGTACATGGTGTGATTCTTGGGGTTGTCCTGTGCAGGGCCAAGAGCTGGACTTTGATGATCCCTGTGGGTCACCTGCAACTCAAGATAATCTGTGACCCTACAGCAGAAGTGATCAAGCAGTTCAATATACATCTGCTGTATCAAATTCCAGCAGCAAGCTAAATCCAACCTGCACCTTCACCAGGTAGTGCTACTTACTCAAACTAAACATGATATGTGCTACAATCCTGTAACCTATATATTACCCACAGTTACTACCCACGTGTCATGTGGCTACTACCGAAGTATGGGCAAGTGAATTGGAAATCTCCCCCTCACCCCTTCCTCCTGCAGTGTGCAAGCTTGCATACATGCTGTGCAAAACTGCATATATCCAAGGAGAAGGGATTAAAGTGTACTTTACCAGAAGACACAAAATTCCCAGCATGTCCAAAAGGAACCTGGGACACCCCCTGGCCTACTCCCATCAAATCATAGCAATCAGAAATAAGCAAGAAGTGGCAAAGAGCATAATCCAAATCTGTAGTCCTCAGTGACCCACAGTATGGATGAAGACATGCTCTGCTGTCTGGAGATGAAAATTCAATATACAAACTAGTGATGTGGCAAACCATATTTATCCAACAGAGATGCTCTGTGTGTATGTGTGTATATATAAAAGCCAAGGACTGTGCTTTACCCAAAAACATTCATAATCTGACATCCAAACTCTGTAGTCATACAAGACAAACATGACATTTAAAACCATTATAAAGACAGTAAAACAAGCACAATAATCCCCAGGTACAGGCTGTGAAATAATACATGAAAAACAAGTATTATTATACAAAAAAAACACTATGTGAGAATCAGAGACAAAAAGATTACTCGAGAATCACTGCTCTTTTGTCACAACTTGTTTTTCAACATCTATACTGAAACACTGTAATATAAATGGTGTAGCTGTAGAACTATTTTGCCCGAATAAAAAAGATCATATTAAAGACCCATGTATGTCATAACTGTACATTCCATCTCCCCCTACTGCTGCAGTATGGAAAGGCATTTTAGTAGTAACTCACTTATTTTTCTATTTTCATTTCTAACATGACATCTAGTTTGAATTCCACTTATTTTAATGAATGCAAGCCCAGTGCAGCTAAAACTGTTACTACATCTAATGATGAAGCAAGAAGTTAGATTTAATGGTCTTTTTCAATACTCTACTTTCAATTCTCTACCAATTAAAAAAAAAAAAAAAACAGAGGCAGATGGCAACTATTCCACTTGTAAATTTTTTTCCACACCCAGAGATTCACCTCTTACCACAAATGAATCCCAGCCTTTCAAAAAGGCTGTTCTTAAAGGCAACTCTTCAGTTACAAGTTACCATCATGGAAGAAAACCAAAACACTGTACACACAAAAAAGCCCTCCACTTTTTTTTTTTAAGTACCTCCATTTGAATGAGGTTTCTTCTTAAAAGAGACTGTGGTGACCATGTCCCATTCTGCTTCATAACTACTTGGACGGTCTGCTCCTCGGGAACATTTTTCTTTTGGAGTTTGAGTCCACTCCACAACAGAACTGGAATCCTGAGAAAAACAACAAAACCAACTATCAAAAACACAAGGCATGAAAACTGACCTGGTTTCTCAGATTCAACTTGAAGAATCAGCATCTTTATTTTGTAGATTAAATGAAAATGTACTGAAATCCTCAGAAGCATGATACAGTTCAACACAGGAAATTTGGACTTATGACTATGTGGTTTTACTTACTAAATTCCAATACCCTAAAATATCTTTGTATCTCTTGCAGACTCTATGAACATAACAAATTATTCATTTAAGTGTAATACTTGAATCTTTTTTACTTAGCCCCATCCTCTTAATACTGATTAAATAGCACATATCACTGCATCTTGGAACCCCCACAGACTTCTATTTTTATTTTGCATTAGAACAGCACCTCTCACTTTCATGTCTATCTATGAAGAGTGAATCACCAAACTACAACACAGTAGATGCAGAGGGACTGGTGACTGTGATATATTTACACTCATTTGGTCTTTACTATTCATAACTAGTCCCCTACTATTTTATTTGTGAACCAAGTAAAAACTAAACACAGTCAACCTACACATGCATTCTAATAACCTGAACTGGCCTGCTGTCTGAAAATAAGATTCCTACATATAGCTATTACTACCAATAATAAATAAGCTTTGCTTCCAGTTATGAAATCACCTATGCATTAGTTAACACAAAACAAAATCTCTAGAGAAGCATAATGAAGAACACTGATAACTAACAAACCTTTCCAGCACAGAGGATATTAGAAGTATCCAAAGTCTCATCCAGTGGCCTCCAGTCTACTACCACTTCATTTTCCTACAATAGAAATCACAAAAAATTCAACACTACACAACAAAGTACCTATTGCCATATATAGTCATGGTGTGACTATGTTAAAACTTACATATACATATAGATGATGACAATGTCAAATACAATGTGATGTTTGTTCATTTACATAATCCTACACATGAAAAAGGCATTTAAGATTTGCCAAACTTGTTATGTGCTTTGCCAACAAATACACAAAAGTTCTGTAACTGTATTATGCAAGTACCTTTTCTATGACACGCAGTATTCCTGCTATTAAGCTGTCCTGGTCATCATTTTTTCCACAGGAGGAGTGAATGAAAACTCCTTCTTGCTCATATACAACCTATAACAAAATGAGTAAAGAAATTTAAAAAACAGTGTTTCAAAATCCTTAAAATTGTTTATCCCTCCATATTACTCGTTATCATTTTGACTCACTGACAGAAGTTGAATTAAACACTTCTATCTTGTTAGGGATTTTGTTACAAAGACTCCAAGATCCAAGTCTTTCACTTACCTAAATAAAGAAACAATAGGAAATGGAACTGATCAAACTTACCCTCTAAGCAACATACTGACTACTACTACTTTGCTAAAACACAAGAAAATGCATTCAATACCTAGTTATTTTTAAATCAGCAGGCACAGGTTCAGTGAAAATCCTATACAGCTTTTAAAACATTAAAAGGCTTTGTTATATAGTCTGCCTTTCTGCCACCTGCAATTAAGCATTGAAATTATAAAATTAATTTAAATTTAAAATGGACCAAATAGTCTAAAAACATGAGCTCCAGAGAAATAAAAAACTATACCCTGAAGTTAAATGCCTAATCCTATATTCAGGGCCAGTAGCAAAGATTCCATCTGAAAAGTAGAATACGTAACAGTTGGATAAGAAAGGCTTGTAGGAGTGCACACAGCTCACACAACTTTTGCATTTAAGCATTTGCAAAACCCTTCACAGTATTCTGATCATGCTCTCAAAAAAAATAAAATCAGAGAACCCTTAGCTGTCAAAATTTAGCAGGCTTTTCAAAGCCACATACTCTTAAAAGCTCTATAAATACTGTAAATGGGTCCTATTTTACACAGGTCTAAGAGTGAAGAGTCCCTTCGATTTTGTGAAAGTGAAATGAATCAAAGAGTAACAGTAACTGTTTCAGAACCATTTTCATTTTCACACTAAGATGCGAACACTGCCTTAAGAAACATATTTTTAAGGGCAAAGCCTAGAAATTTTTAACTAATGAGAGACAGTGCATTTCTTTGGTTCTAAAATATCAGGAGCTATTTTTCTCATTTATCTGCTTTCTAAAATCATTACACTTGTAGTCAGGCCAGTAAACTAAAAGGTTAGGCATGTAAGCTCAACTAGCCAGATGAGAAAGCATGGTTTAAAAAGAGCCATAAAATTCACTTAAATTACTGTTTTAGTTTTGCTTCAATTTCTCTACCTTTTACACAAGCAAGAAATTTCAGGAGTGTCGTGGTTAAACAGAAATAACACTTGGAAGAAATCTCTAAAGATCACTTAGCACATGTGCTTGAAGGATTATTAACATCATTGCCTTTCGAATATTGGAAGTTTTCTTTCCTGTTGTCTATTACAGTGTTTTTCTCTTTTCTATCCAAAAAGATCCTCCTTTTCAAATTCAGTTCATTCAAACAAAGCAACCTTGACATTTATTTAAATTTTACCTTCTAGCTATATGGACCCAATCTATCATGGAAACTAGTCAGAAATATGAACCAGTTGTCAATCACTGGGACAGCTGCCCCAGCACAAAAAAAGGAAAAAAATCTATTTGTATCAGAGTTATACTGGTAGAAGAGCATGTCTGCCAAAAATGTTAGTAAGTATCATAAAGTATACCTTCTTAGTCTAGAAGATATGAGATCTAATAACTGTTTTTATTATTTTTCTGTCCATTAATCTCTCAGAAGGACAAACACTTCCTTTCATGGAAAAAGAAAATGTGTTTCCATCGCCACAGTTGTCACGCAACTGAAAAATCTTATACTGTTCTTTGTAACAGCTTCAGCTCCCTGTGCCATGCTCCACCAAAACCAAAGCACATACTCAAAACTTCAGAGGCTGTTTGTAAAACAGAGGTCTGGTCACAAAGCACCTTATTCCCCTCATACTGTTATTTAAGAGAAAATCTCCAAGTTTGAAAGGCCAGAAGGCCAAGCTGCTGAGATTTTTCTTTTCCAATCACAAGCCTGATCTATTTATTTACTTTTTCCAACAGTTAACTGGAACTGTAACTAATTTAAGAAAGAGATAACATTGATTGTACAAAAGAATATCTAGATATTTTTTCACAGTTAATCCCTTTGCAGAAAATTTTGGGAGTTACCATATTGAATTCTTCAAAATACTGAGCCACTCTATTCAGCAGTACTTTGTAAGGTAACTCCATAAATGCATTTGAACAACTGAGTTTGCAAATGTGGTAGCACCCGAAAATTAGCTACACTGGGTAGCTATATTTCACACAATGTTCTTAGCAAGCTGAAAATTCAAAAATGCTATTAAGTATTCTTACAGAACTTTACAGTAAAACATAGCTTGTTACAGATTTTTGTTTTCTGGTACTGCAACACTAGCAAGCAATTAAAACTCAGTTTAAAGACTAAAAGTAATGTTAAATTACATGTACAAGTAATTAGTACTAAGGAAGGGATCAAATTTAAAGACAGTATACCCATAGTTAGATTTGAGTAAAACCCCATCCATCAGTAGACAACTGCTACTAAACTTAGTAGCTCAACCTCACACACCATATGGCCTGCAAAGGTTTTTGCTCAGGGCCTCTGCAGCTCAATACTCAGGGAAACGCCTGATGAGTCAGCACACTTCGACCTCTTAAACATTCAAGAAAACAGATTTCAAAACTAAGTAATGGCTTCACACATTGCCTCTTGCCTAAGCAGTAGGTTACTGCAGAACATGCAAAAAGGCATAAATGTTGGAGGATGACCCGAAGCATCAGGAAAATACCAAGGATTTGTGTAAGGTTTGCATGCGACATCTACGTACTGAGATCCTACATATGGAGAGAGTAGAAGGAACTAGATACAGCCAGGACAAGATAATGAGACTGATGACCTCTCATTAGCTGTTGAAGTAACTATAACCCCTCCAAACCCAACCCAAATCTGCTTCTGTATCACCTGTCAATCCCCTTGGCATAGGAAAGCAACATAACCTTTTTGAAATCTTGATAATCTTTAGTCTTTAGTGAATTAGGAAGGCTTCATTACCCACTGTGTGAAAGAATTCAAGAGTTTTAAAGAATATTATCAGCTCAGTTAGTCCATTACACTTTTTGTATTATAAGACAGGAAAACACCCTACTGGCTCACCTTGGTTTTGTACTATTCATTATTTTGCATATTCATCATGGGATCCTTTACAAAGGTGAGAAGTATGCAGAGACAAGCTCAATCTTACGTTTTGTTTTCATATGATTAGAGCCATCACTCTTCCCCTAAATCTACACAAAATCAGTAAGTCCATAATAAAAAAAAGACAAGTTGATGTTAATAAGTGCATACCACAGGTCACTAGATAATTCTACATGTCCCTAGGATTTTAATAAAATCCCAAAAGTATCCCTCACCCCAGTATTGCAGCCCTTCCAACCATCCAGCTAATAAGAATTCTGTGTTCTGCAGTCTATCCACTGGTCCCTGAAACAGAACCTCGGGGAAGAAATGCCCTTTGTGTTGCTCACATGCTCGAGGCAATGACAAGGCCTCACTACAGACTTAAACAGCAATTGTTCTGTTTTCTTCTGTACCTGTTTGCAAACATCTACTGAACTGCCCACAGAGATGCGTATGTCACAGGTTTAGATGTTATTACCTACATGAAAGTCAGACTCTGCTGGCTCCACAACGAAAACACAAATGAAAAAAGAAGAGTGTTTATTGAAAGCACACACCAACACAACCAAAGCAAATGAAGATGTAATGTGACAGAAGCTGAATAATTTTGAAAATAACTTGATTTCAAATAAATTTTAATTATATCTTGTGGCCATATATTTGAATTACTGAAAGATTTTCAGACATTTTACTAGCTTAAAGCTAGTTCTATGAAGAACAGATTTATCTATCCATGGTATCCTTAAGTTCCTAGAATACTTCAAGTCATAAGCATTACTTAAGGCAGCATAAGACTGTAAAAGCATTCAGCTGGCAACTATTTCGCTAAGAACATTATGGAGACAGTAGGAAAAAGGTATGCTTTAAGTATTACTTTTTAATAATCCTTAAGTCTCAAGTTTGAAATAAGATGTACCTCAGAAGCTCATGCTTGTAAGTCTTTAGTGCTTATCAAGTAGTCCGTGCTGGCAGTATACAAGCACAATTTACAGTGTATTTTTTGTCCAGTTCTATTGAATGAAAACTAGACCCATTGCCTGTCTGTTTCAGAATCCCACCAAAAGCTAAACATTTATTTACATTTCCAAAAGCTAGTGAGCCACTCTGACCTGTTTCTTTTTTTCCATGGGTGCTACAGAGGTCGAAGGCAAATTCACTATTCATCTGATCAGTCACTGAAAGCACTGTACCACACAGAGACAACTGCTATTCCAAGTCATATCCTGACTGAGGGTCTGTACAAACAGGGAACCACAGCAGAAAATTCAGGAAAGCTGCACAAAGCAATAGCTGTATACCCACCTACTATTAAAAAACAGACAGAAGCAGTAGGATGTAGGCTCAGTTTACATGTCATGGCATATGCTAGTTAAGGCTCTGGAAAACTCTTCAAGTATTTATAGTCTGTGTCCAGCAAAAAATAGGTTTCTGAAGTCCCACCATTGCCCCAATAACATTTTCTGAGAAATAAACTGCACCATTCTTAATATCATAAGGACACAGCATGGACACTGCATATCTCCATATTTCTATTGTTCTGCTTACACTGGGCAGCAAACAGGCAACGTATGTAGGATTTTTGTTGTTTAAGACATGTATGAGCAGAAGGCCTTTGGGATGCTACACCAACAATATATGACAGACTACAAGCAAAGCCTTGTGATTTAATGCTTGCTATTCAATAGCAATTAACAACCCTGTGCTACCTGCTAGTGAAAGATTACAACATTGCACCCTAAGACAATGAAGTATAGACAACAAATAAAAGGAGAGCTAAGATCTGGGGCTACCACAGAACAGTATGGTCCTGCCATCTTCACCCATGTATTTTCCACCCTGCCTGTGCTGAGCCTAAGTATTAGCTGTCACCATGTGCACTGATTGCGTACTGATCTCCTGTTCCTAGGACTGTCACATACCAACAACCTGTCAAACACAGAATACTTGAGA